CCAGATGGAATCTGTGGAACTATTGAGGGAGAGTCGGAGTTGCCCTATAGATGCCACTTGGGAGATTTTTTAGAAAAAAGGAGGAGACGCACTAACTTGATTCATAAATTGGAGCAGTTGCATAAGCTGTTGTTGGTCCAGCCCTCCAAGAGCTCCTAACTCCTGCAAAATCCTCTATGACGTCTTGAAAATCTTCACTCTTTGAAATTAATTATAATAAAATATAAATTCACCTCGCTACCGCCAAGTCCAGCAAGATTGGCAGTAGATAAGCCTCCAGTGTTGCGTTCGGATGAGCCTCCTCGAGCAGATGCACGAGTAGTAGGAGGTTTGTTAAGTGCATCATTGACCTATACGGAAACTTCAGGTTCGCACGTTCAGCCCGCAGAGCCGGCAACGATAAAGGATATCCAGTGAGCAGATACCTTTTGACAAAGATCCTTATCCGCATCAGTGTTACCGTCTTGTATCCAGAACAAGCGACGTTCGTCTGAAGTTTTAAACTTGAGCATATACACCTTGCCATCAGGACAGCCCTTCACTTCTTTGAACTCAGTGTCGCCGGGGAATATAATTAGGTCCTAGAAGTAGAATATACTGCTTCATATTAGAGGACATTTCGAACTAGACGCACATCCACTATCGCTCCCGTTTCTCTGTTCTTCCAACAGAAGTGCATCAGTTGGTCGTTCGATTGCTTGATAAAAACAAGACCTTTTGTCTTATCAGCTACAACCTGAAGAGATCCTTCAAATACGGCGAAATAACATATTATCAATGAAAAATAAACCACCTTTTTCTTGTTTGGTGCTGTGGCAGGTTGTAAAAAGGAGCGACCAGCCTGTAACAGTCAATGAGTGGATCTTGCTAGACGAATCTTACAAGGATTGGTCGATATAAATGACAGCTTTAGGAATTTAAAAGTCAATCAAAGTTTGATTCAATTCACTAGGAAGTGTCCTTTAGGTTTTTTCATAATGGCCTGAAATTACATTATGATGGATTCCAGATGTGTCACCTTTATTCTAGATTAAAGTGGAGCAGCAATCCTTTCTGCGATTCGCAGCAAAAACTATGAAACCCACAATCTCTTCTAGAGACGGCTTGCATTATACGGTAAATTTGAAAGCGTCTCTATGTGCACCTCTTTGTGAAACGTCGATTTTCGGCAAATTCAAAGAAAAAGCACGAATAGTCGATAAAAAGTGATTTTTATTCTTTTTGGACA